TTTGTGAAGGATACTACGTGTATTCTTAAGTCTGTTTAACATTAACTATGGGCAGGTTTTATTTCAAACAAATGTGAATGCGTTTGCAAGATCAGAGTTTTAGTGTGCTGAGTATATGATCCATTTATTTTCTCTATATTTGTTACTGTAAGTTGTTTTCAGGATAACAGCACTGGCAGACAATTTGCAAGCATGCACTCAACGCAGTATTTTAGATAAGGACTTTTTTTCTTGTTTTTCAGGTTGAATCATCATTTTGGTAATTTCAACAAAGCCTCTGTATTTTGCTCTATTTACTCAGTTTATACATCTGCCAAATAATGACACATCTCAGATTATATTTTTCATCCAGATCAGGGTGAAATCCTACCAAAAAAGACTTTATGTGAGTGGTTTCATCAAAGTTTAAGCTGGACAACTGGAGTGAGTAGCAGATTATAGGACTGATCCAATAATGTCTGGGAAGTAGAGGAAGCTGCACACACTAAAATTTAAATCTAACTAACTCATTTATCTCTGAGTGTACTGAATTTTTATAGTGGTTTTGTATCATTAAATCCTGAATTAGATCCTTAGTGTGATCAGTTCAAAGAGAAATGAACTGTCACTGTTGAGTTTTTTGTTTTTTATTTGAAAGATGTGCTTTGTCAGGATTCTCATCTTTAGGGCCTAACCAAACCCATGTGTGTTTGGGGCAGGAGCCATGATTATATCATCACTTACAGTCAATTAAAAAAAAAAAAATTTACCTGCACTGATTTTTTTTTTTTTTTAACATTGTTAAGCTCTAGTTTACATTCTCCAAATGCAAATGTGTAGGGTCAAATCTTGAAGAATCCAGTCCTTAACACCACAAGAACAAAGAATAAGAACTGACTAGGAATAGGAGATAACACTTAAAAATAATTAACTGATCTGAGAAATGAAAATTGGTGTAACATGTATCAGCTGAAACTTCATTTTGACTGGTAAAGAGGAAAAAAAAAAAGAGCAAAATGTTCAACACTGAATATTGTAACAGCTGGTCCCTCATTAAATTACTCATCTAATTCCAAATCATCTTTACATGCAGTATATTTCATTTGCTAGCCACAGAACAGGGGAAAATTCAAATGATTTTTAGCCAGTTCAAGAAGCTGTCCTTCTGCCACATGAATCGCTATCCATAAAGAAGCAAGAATTCTATTAAATTCTTCCTAATTTGAATTATTTAAAATAATTAGCTTACGTATTTCTCACTGCACTTTCCCATTGTAAGGGCAAGCAGCAGCTGGACATGGCGGGGGACTTTTAATATCATACTTTGCGAAGTCAAAAGGGGAAGTCTGGAAGCTGAATACGTGACCCACTGGTGGTCTGGACTCTGCAACCAGAAAGCTTCCACATCAAAAATGGCAAACGTGGCCTCAGCCACAGGCTGGTGGGTGACTCTCTGATCTGAGGTGCCTCTGAGTCGAGTGGAGGCACGTGTACTTCACCGGGCAGTGTATGGTGTGTCAAAGACTCGACCCAAGGCTACGGCCACGTATTGTCCATAGACCAAACTCACTCCACACACTGCAAGGGGGGAGCACAGAGTGCAATGGCAGCTCTTCCTCATGCTCAGGCAATTAAGAAAATAACGCACCCCATACATGCAAATATCCAGGGTTGTTGTTGTTTTTTTTAAATGCACATGTCAGGCCACATGCTTTACTTGTGACTCACGGAGCTTCTTCCTTGCCCTAAACCCTGTTCTTGCCTGTACAAGACTTAGACATGGAGATAAAATCTGGGTATGAGTACTCCTCTTAATGGGTTTACGCAGCAGGTAAAATACTGGTTTCACTGTGAAATTCACAAGTGAATCCAAGTATCTACAAGGCCAGACTATTTGCCGGGGTTCTTACAGTATGAGACATCCATTACCCCCTATTTCTGCTGCTCTTAAGAGTTCATCGCTTCTGTTTTTAAAAAGCTGTGCTTTAATCTTGCCTGAAAGACCCTTTCACAGAATCATGATCTATTTATTTTTATATTAAAGAGAGAAATCTATCTAAAAACCCAGTGTGGAAAAACTATCCTGCACCACTTAAAATAAAATTACTCCCAAAGCTGGACAATTTCTGACATTATCAATAATGCTGTTGCATAAGGACAGATATAAACAGCAGTTACATTACACATTGATATCTAGTGCATTAGAAACATAAGCAGGAGTAAAAAGTCAGTGCTTGGAAGTAGGCTCTCTTTCCACATTAATACTCTAGATATGATAAAAATCCTACAAGGATTTATAAGCAAAAGAAAGAAAACAAATGAACAAGCAAAAAGCTCTATGCATATTTAAAAAAACCAACAAAGGTGTACTTATAATTTATAAGTTGAGCATTTAGCAGGTAAGATTGTTTTCTAATCTAACTGTTTTCTAATGGTTCAGCTGCAGAACCTATGGATGGTTATCACCTGATTTTACCAATCCATGTGTAAGTAACTTTACTCAGGTGTGTAACCAAAGGGATATAAGCCTTCCCTACAGAACGCAAGCTGGTCAGGCTTCTTTACATCTGATTAAAATTTTAACAATAAGATACGCACTGAGTATTCAGGTAGATCTCCCAAATCTAGGATTTTGCAAGCTTGCACCTCTTTTATTCTGCCAGCCTGTGGGGCTACGCAGGTATGAGAGGTGCTGGCCATGCACAGTAAGGTGCAGTGTCAGTATGAAAAAGCAGGGCCTGACCCTGCTCCTCTTGAAGCCAGGAATGTATTTACTGAGATTAATGCTCCAGGATCAATGTGACTATTCTTTAATTTGACAGAAATGTTTTGGAGAAGAAATGGAAAGGGGAAACAAAGATATGCCCGCAGCAGTATGGAAGGGAGTTCGAAAGAACTACAGAAGAAAACTCGTGTGCCTGAAAGGATGTTATGTTCTTGTATGTAAGTCAGTATAACATATTTTGATAATGACATCCAATACGTGTTGGCAGTTCCATTTAAGGGGTTTCTTTTGTGCAGGTTTAATTTAATGGTCAGACTTTCATCCTTAGCAGGTGCCTATAAGCTTAAAATATTGCAGATAATGCCAAATTCAGGAAAAAATAAAATAAATCAAGTCTCTGATTAGTAGTAAGCCCTGGTTCTGCTTAATTTTGCCACAGAACACAGCTTCAGTGATGGCATGTACTCTATCCTGTAAGAAAGCCCTCAGTGATGCCACCAGGGCCAGCTGTCCTGTGCTCATTGGACACACTGCTCGCCTGCAGGAGCCCCAGCTTGGCTTGGGACAGCACTGGGGTCCCCTGGAGACACACAACAGACCCCAGGTGCTCTCAACTGCTGAAGGGCTCACTCTAGGGCACACCTACCTGCTACGTGAATGGGCTGTGGCACTTGATGCACAGTGCAGACATACCCACCTACCTCAGCCCAGCAGCACTGACACAGCTGACTGAAAATGGGCAAAAAAAGAGTCCTAAAGCTGTTCGAAGGCCACCAAAGACAATACAGATGTCAAATGCAGGCTGCGAGGACGTCTGGACTCTGCAGTGCTTATGGGACAAGCTGGGGGGGTGCTGGGGACAAGGCCACTACAAACAGTGCTATTAGTGGCAACAGCAAAGGGTCTTAGGAAATTAGATCTGATTTTGTGTTTTTCTAGCTCAAATCAATGGTAGGGCCTTCTGTGGTCTTTTGAGATAGCAACAAAGTGTTTTCCAAAGACAAGCAACTGAATGCACCTTTCATCATCACTGGGAGAGAAGTCCAGAAAACCACATAATGACTATTTAGTTTATGTTTACAACTAATCAAAGTAGTTATTACTCCTCAAATGTAATACTACCAAAATTTTGATATTTTACCCTAATTTTAAGCCTCTAAGAGTTTAATCTTCTAATAGCCCTAACCAGAGAGTAAAAAGGGTTATGTTTTTTTATTTTCATATATCATATATACTATATATATAAGATATATGTAAATAAAAATGAGTTAAGAGATTGTAATGTTCCTTACACATCCTGTCATGTGCGACTATCATCACAAAGAGCCCATTACATATGCTTCTTTATCTCAAGTTCATGAAAAAGTCTCCTTGCAAGACTTCATGGACGCAGCATGTCTCAGAACTGCTCCTCCTGTGTAAGTGGCTCTTCTTGTGCAAAGTCCAAGGAGACGACTTTCCTTTTTTGCCTGTGGCATGAATTTTTGTCCAGCCACTCTGTGCCTGCATTGCTGATCATCAATCAATTTTGATCACTACGCAACTGAAAACTTTTGTTTTTGTGGGGGAGCTGGAAGTCATTTGGAACTAAATGTACCATAATCTTGGTTTCAGAGCTTTGCCTGAAGTGACATGGGACTGGCTCCAGAAGCATTTATTTTAAGACCATATGCCTTTCCTCCCTTCTGTCCCCAGCTTTCACATCTATTAGGCTGACCTCCTGAAAAAGTGGCCCAGACCTTTGTTCCTCTTCTGTTCGTGGCAAAAGGTTAACACCCTCACAAGGCTAGTAGTCATAAAAAGTTTACTCCATCATTTTGGCTCAAAAAAAAATAAAAATAGAGACTGCTTACTAGTAAGTTTTAGGGGCAATTAATTCTGGCAGAAGTGGTGAAAAATACACACCCTATTAGCAGGGTGACCTGATTTTCTGAACGGGCTTGAGAAATAGTGTTTGTAATTAGGACCATGGATTGTTACAATTTGGTTGAGAATCACTGAAAATGGAAAACATAATAGTAAATTGTTAGAAAAGGTTCCGGTGATAAGGACGCTACTGTATTTCCACTAACTACCTCCCCTACAGAAGATCATGCTAAATGGAAAACTTATTTCCAAGGGGAGAAGAAGCCCTGACACTTTATTGCTAGATTCTATAGCAATTGGAGCTCACTTACAGTAACCTTATAGTACTCTATATAAACTGAGAAGCTTGTATCAAATTCAGGCTTCCATTTAAAATAGATATTGCAGATATTAGGCTTCAATTAAAGAAGAAAAATAACCTTCAGTGCTTCTTTTTTTAAAGGCAAAGTATAAAAAAAAAAATCACCAAACTAGGTGAAAATTATTAAATTTCTCCAAAAAATTAAGATGAGCTTTCTTCTATTTCTTGAGACAGTACAGTTTGTGATTCACAGGGTAACTGCTATCAAACACAAGTTAATGAAAGCTCCTGTAAGCAATTTTATTCCTAACCATAATGGCAGACATCTACAAAATAAGAAGAATTTATCATTTGAGTTCACCTTAAAAAATAACTTATAAAGCAGTGATATATGCAACGTAAAACAGTTCAGGAGGGGAGAGGGAAAGTAAATTTTAATAATTAAAATGTAAACGTGGGAAAAAAAAAAAAAAGATGGAATAAAAGTCCCTACTTCTCATTTCTACTTAAGATGTCATGTGAGAATATTTTACAATGTCTCGTGGGTCTGTATATGTATGTGTGTATTTCTGTGTCACACACACATACATATACTTGAACCCACACGTGTACATACACAGATAATTGTTTGCAGTTCCATCTTGGGCAGTTCTGTTACGCCACTTTTTTACAGTTGCCTCAATCATGTTTGGGACCCACTGTCTTGACAAAACGGGGGAGATGGTAGAAATAAAAAAAAAAATAAAAGAAAGAAAAGGTGGGTCTGATTGTGTCTGAGATCCTTTTGTTAAACTGTACACTGGGACGAATAATTTTCTTCTGCAGTAGCTCTCTGAAGAGGGCCAACTCACTGTGGTCTTCATGGCGAGACTTGTTAACGGATCACACACTCATTGTCATGCTAGGGGAGTACTGAAAAAAGAGGAATCCACATTTTAACAAACATTGCCCTCCCCCCCCCCACCCCAGGTAACTAAAACCACTCCTGGACCACAACAACGAGTTCAAATGTCCACACGCTCTTTGAACTGCCTCCTAAATTCGTACTGTGGCCTGTGCTAAGGCTGTAGTTCAATTTGTGGTGTCATAACTTGTGTTACACTTCTCTCATTATGCAAAAATACAGCTATTGCTGATAAAGCCAGCTCCATTGAAGGTTGTTCTGGTGTTACCCAGGTGCTTTCACTGATGCTTTCCATGCTTTTTCCTGGTCAATGTAGGCTACTGAGGGGACTTAGACAAGCAGATGGCTCGTCTCAAGTAGACCAGCTGCATTCGTGGTCAGCTGAACCACACAATATATTTGAGAGGCTTTTATTACTTTAGGGGAAGAAATGAGTAAAGATGCGTCTGACTGGAATCAAACTAAGCTTTTGGTCTTAATTATTCTGTGTTATCGATTTTAGGAGGCAAGCTGAATCAGTGGTCATCCTCCTTTATGTGAACCAAAAATTCAATCAGCACGTTACATTATGATTGTAACACAAACTGAACTGCAGCCCTTATACAAGCTACAGTTGCCCTGAAGTTAGCAGTACTTCATTACAATAATCAATGGGACACCACAATGCCTAGAAGAAGTACACATCTATACGCCTAATTTGCTTTTAAATCGAGAATTGTGGACTGCAGAAACACTTACTTTGGCCTAAAATCTTCTAAGTAGAGGAAAATGTTCAAATGCAAGAAGTATTAGCATTATGAAAATTGATACAAGAAACAGAAAGATAGATTTGCCTTTGGAAAAACAGATATGCAATAAAAAAACGCCTGCCAAAGCTAGAGTTTCAAGCTGGCCATTTCCAATTGTCCAAACGTATCAGAAGAAGTCTTTTGGATGGGTCTTTGCTGTCACGTAAACTGCATAAAATGGACTACTTGGGTAGCATCTATTTTGTCCCAGGTCAGGTCTCTGACAGTTTGTCCATCCCATCACGTGCTGAGCTCTCCCACAGTGGGCCAGTAAAGCTGGTACACACTTATTTTAGCCAATGTCAGAGACCAGCTACACTCCTTAAAGCAAAGCACTTGTTCAAGTGGTTTCCTGTATCTCAGCTGAAGTGCCTGGGTAATCACTTCCCACAAGGAATCTAGAGATGATCTAAGAGTGTTTGTGATTTTTAACTTATTTTCAGCCAAGCACCATTCCCAACCCCCAACCAAAACTCTCAAGTGAACTGAACAGCAGATTTGCCTGAGAAATGACTTCTCAATAATGCCCACTCTAGCCAGGTAATGAAACATGAATCATAAAGCAAGACAGCTCCCCAGGACTACAACATGACTTGTTAGCATGTATCATGCATGTCTTGTAGGCATTCATCTCACGTAAAACCTTGAGAAAACTGGGTCCCAGGTTCTTCCAGGCAGGAAAACAGCGTCTAGGAAGACCTAGAATCCAGTTAAGTGTCTGAGAAAACTGATTTTCTTTTGAGTAAAGCTGATGTCCTTTTCACGACTTCAGTTTGGCAAACTGGCCTGCCTGCTGATCAGCCTGCCTGCCCTCAGTTCAAGCAACACGTACCAAATCGAGAATCAAGGTTCACCATGACCAAGGAACATTTAATGGAGGTTCTGTGGTTACTGGTTTTTTGGCAGCTATTGAAACATCAGTCTTTTTGGGTTGTACAACCAATTTTCTCCAGTACTCCACACAATCTGAACATGTGCCTTCATTATGAAGACACCAATGTGCAGAAACTCTTCCTTTTCACTAGTTAAAGAAGCCAACACCCAAAAAACCCCAAAATCTGATTCCCATGATATTTGCCATGCCATTTGGCTGCTTTGTGATCTAACAGAAACTGTTTACTCATTGTAATTTCTGAGCTGAAGTTCACCACTGGCATAGTTAACGATCATTTCTGGCGGCAGTGATTTCCAATAAGCGCAGAAGTGCTGGAGTCACTCAGCACTGCTGAAAAACCAGGCCACTCCTATTTAGGAGCCTAAATGTGGATTTAGAAACCCAGCTTCAGGCGCGTGAGTATGAAAACACTGTAGTGCTGCTTTGCGATGTATTTTACACCACGTTTTGTGCCTCGAGCGTTCTCCATTTTTAAAAAAAGCATTGTTTCTCCCGGAACGAACACTAGAGGGAGCCTTTGCTGTTCCTGGCTCTAACGTGCGCTCTACTGGGGCTCTAATTATAGACTTCAGTGTGAATCCTGGTCTAAAAGACATTCCCTGCAAGACACATTGTTTAGGAGTCAAAGGTTGGGCTGCCACACATTGAAAACACTCGAATGGCAGGATCTGTCAGCCCTGTGTATTTAGGCTGCCGGGATATTGCCTGACAAACGCCTGTTGTGCGTTACCGAATACACGCAGCGTAATTATTACTGCCTGACAGATCCAGCTTTCATTGACAACTGACCTCTTAATCTAGGAAGAGAGTTCTGCAGTAAATCTACACTTCCCACATTTTTCCGTTTCAGCTCAACTTGCACCAGCACTTTGCACAATTTTTTTGTCGAATCAAAACTATAATTCTAGAAGCTAGTAAAAAACACGTAAGGCACAGTGCCGCATTACAAGGACACCACAAAGCTGTTTGTTCTCGCTGTTATTTTTCTTTTTTTTTTTAAAGAAAATGCCAGAGATAAAGGTTCACAAAGTGAAAAAAACAGCTAGGTAAAAAAATACTTACGCTCTCACTCTGAAAAGGGTTTAGGAAGTTTCCACCCATCTCACCGTCATCCCGGGGAGTGCCAGGCTGATTACTCATGCTCATATTACTGGGAGAGTTCTGTTAAATCAGATTTTAAAATACAAATTAAATGTTGAAGATTTCAGTTCATTTTCCAGCTTCACCAAGTGTGCTAAAGGCACGCTTTACACGATACCATGGTACACAAAGATGCACGGTGCAATGTGCTGGGATTTTCAAAGACAAAAAAATACAAGCCTCTGCAGGGTTCTGCATGATTCAGTCACTAATTTTAGCCTGTAAAGTAATGTTTCCTTCCCTGAAGCAAGAACTATTTTTCTGTAATTCTGGTTTTCAGGTTACAGCCAGCACCTTCCACTGGTGTCAGGCAGAGCAGTAAGTGGCTGCAGCAGGGAGGAGAGGTACCCCTGTCACTACATTAAATCACGCGCCCAAATTCAGTGCAGTCCATGAACTCGTGCTTTGACACATGTGACTTAACCAATATGTACTTAAAGGTTGACACAGGGATGGATATGGTCTACACAGACCTTCACAAAGGCCTGCACCTGGGGTCTTTGTTCGCCACGTTCGCAGTTTATTGTAACACGGTTTCACAAGTAGTTCACAACTGTGGCTCGAGTGCTAAACCACTTCACGGAGCGCAGCTAATACACAGCGTTTACAGGTCAAAGAGTTAACAAGTGTTTTGGATAAAAGGCTCCCGAGTAACAGCTGGCCACGGGACTGGGCTTGCACACACTGCAGGAGCTTTTCTTCTGCTATTTGCTTGCACAGAGCACAATGCAAGAGCATTATAATCTGCCTTTCCAGAGTCTACATGTGACAAAATGCTAATAAATTATAACAGTACAAAGGCTTCTGAAGATAAATTTGTTTTTTTTTTAACAGAAGTGCACAACCACCTCTGCAATGTTCAGAAAATGCTTCCAAGATTCAGTAACTTAAAGAAAGGTTGAAACCAGCTAACTGTCACAGAAATTATTCTAAGTCAATAGCTAATACATGATCATTGTAGACACTACAATTAGTTAGGCGTTTTTACAAAGCTGATTTTTGGTACCCTACCATGCCTGGAGCAGGGGCAATTCTCTTTCCATCACTGTTAAGATTCCTACTTATACAGGATTTGTGATGGAAAAGGAGCAGCCAGGGAAAGGCGGGAGTGAAGTCATGACATCATGAAATGTTTACATCTATCACCATTCTTTTTTTTGACTTATTTATTTTTAATCCAGAGAAACTGAATGCAATATTGCTGTTGTTGAGATTTTACTTACACAAATGCAAATCTGCTATGCCACAAGAAATTTAACACAAGCCTCATGGAGTCACTGGGCAAGCTAACTAAATGCAACTCCAAGAAGCAGCTCTTGATCAAAGTGACCAAATCATAATGGCTGTGGGAATCTTAAGTGTATTTCTTCTGTTTTATTTATGTTATTTGCAACTGCAATCCTGATACAGGATGCCTGTTAGCATAGAGATTTTTTTAAAAAAAACCCAAGGTATTAATTAATTACCTAAGTGACATGCAGGCATAACTGTTTTTAGTTAGCACCTGAAATGCAACTCACAGGGTTGTGTGGAGACCCCTGCCTTTGGCTTTTACCTTTCTTCAGCCCAGTTCCCTGCTTCTCAAACTGTGATCCCCAGATTTGCGGGAATCACTGGACAACACGTCCATCAAAGACAACTAAAAGCCTAACTAGTTAATTAACATCTGACACTTAAGTTTGCTATTCAGTGAAATTAGAATAGCAAATATTTAGGGATCGACAGCTTGAGGAAGGTTGAAAACTATCGCTTTAGTTCAACCACAGCTATTGTACCTTTAAGCAGGATTTAATTCAGGGAAGTCCTGTTGCCTGTGTTATGCAGGAGGTCATACTACACAATCCTATCAGTCCCTTCTGGCTTTAAAATCTATGAATATAAAATTTAAAACCCACTAAGGCCTTGTCACATTTATTTTATACGATGCTCCCGCACTTTTGTTCATTCCTGGGGGATTTGCCCCTATTTTATCTTGCTCTGTGTAGTGCAAAGCTTTGAAATTCTGCAATTGCTACAGTACGCCAGCCCCAAGGGTTCAAATTCCTGACATAAAACGCTTTTATAGCAACTCCCCTGGGCTGCTTTTATGGCCAGTATGGGGCCTGGCATTGTAGCACTAGCTGAGGTTTTCCAAAGCAAGTATGTCTTTGATGCCTGCACAAATTCCATGGGCACTGCAAGAAACACTGGTTATTAATGTTTATTTAATATGCATAATTTCAGTTCATTTACTTCCCCCATCTCAATCTACTTCATAAAAACTTCATGTTTTGCCATTCAGCCAAATAAATTAAATTCTTCTCAGAAAACGCAGCTCTGTGAGCTGTACTGATCCTACCAAGACTGGATTAATATTCTGATAATCAGCTCCTCTCATGCGCGTTTTAGTTGAAGTTTTGTGCTCGGACTTGAGTGTCACACACCCCAAACCAACCCCAGAAACCTACTATTCCTTGTGAGAAAGGCCTCTTCCATTCCAGTTTAAAAAACATTATGTGCTACCATGTACCCACACTTTTTTTTCACTCCTATCAGTGCAGGCTGCATTTGGGGCAGGGCTGCTCAGAGAAATGGTGTAAACAGGACAACTCTGCCACTTCCAAAGTTTGCAGCGTTTTTCTTTCAGTTATTTGAAAGAGACTCACATCAAATGTTATTTCCATGAGTTATCTATTAAGGTTAACAAACTACGAGACTTCCAAGTATATTTTCAGAGCTCCTGATGCTTGTGTTAGCACATACACTGATACTTAATACCAGGGAGTTGAATACAGGCTTTTAAAAATAATCCTACAGCAAACTAATGGAAACGTTTTCTTTTTTTTTCCTTAAAAAATGCTGCAGTTTGCAATAAAAATACTGAAGAAAAAATACGGACATTGATTTAAAAAGTGCTGTATGCTTATTATCTCATTGGAGGCTTTTATTGAATCCATCACTGCACATCTAAGCACAGCACAACTAATGCAACGTGGTCAGTTCAATCCATCGTTTTACTCTTTGCAGAGCCTGGGAATGTTATAGATCTGAAAAATGTACTTAAATATAGGACTGCTACAGACACTGCTCCGCCACAGGAGCAGCAACGGCCTCAGACACATTGCTGAGGACCTTCTCTCCAGAAAGATACATGCCAAGCACACTGGACAGGCTACCTCTCTCCCATACCACACCACCAGAAGACCATGAACTAGGGAACCGTTCAGGGTCATCATAGAATCATAGAATTGCCCAGGCCGGAAGGGACCTCCAAAGGCCATCTAGTCCAACCTCCCTGTAGTCAGCAGGGACACCCCCAACTAGACCAGGTTGCCCAGGGCCTCATCGAGCCTCACCTTGAATATCTCCAGGGATGGGGCCTCAACCACCTCCCTGGAAAACCTGTTCCAGTGCTCCACCACCCTCACAGTGAAGAACCCTCTCCTCATCTCCAGTCTAAATCTGTTCCTCTCCAGCTTGAAGCCATTTCCCCTCGTCCTGTCACTACAGGCCTTTCTAAACAGGCTCTCCCCAGCCTTCCTGTAGGCTCCCTTCAGGTACTGGAAGGCTGCTATTAGGTCTCCCCAGAGCCTCCTCTTCTCCAGGCTGAACAACCCCAGCTCCCTCAGCCTGTCCTCGTAGCAGAGGTGCTCCATCCCCCTGATCATCCTTGTGGCCCTCCTCTTCCTCCTCCTCTTTGGATTTGTACCACTAACTGGAGAACGACTCCTGCTTTTCGTCCACCTGGAAGCACATTCTCAACAAATTCACACTACAAGCTTCTGTGTTAACCCATGGGAATTTAGGTGAGCATTTTGTTCCCTGATGGTCTACGTGTTGGCATCTCACCATAGGTCATCACCTAGAGCAAGGTCCCAGTGTGACCAGAGCACGTGAAGAGCAGTCTCAGACAGAACTGAAGAGGCAAAGTCTGCCCTGGGAGAGATCAAGCCCCAGCACCGCGGTACTCGGTCTCAGGGCAAAGAAAACACACCAGCAGCTGATGTGCCCAAAAGAAACTCATACTCCTCTCTTGGAAGAATTATTGCTACAAACCAATGAGTTATAAAAACTTAAACTGAAACAATCTCTTCATCAATTTCGGTATTTATAGATCAAAAGCACAGCAGTGCGGGGAGATTGTTGTAGTGATGCAGTTATTAGTTTCAGTCAGTTACATCTGAAGATGCTGAGTAAAAAACATAAGTCTTTTGCAGGGCAGAGATTTATGCCACTTTTTCAATACCAAATAAGCTCATTAATTCCTAAATTAACTCCTCTTTGGATTTGTACCACTAACTGGAGAACGACTCCTGCTTTTCGTCCACCTGGAAGCACATTCTCAACAAATTCACACTACAAGCTTCTGTGTTAACCCATGGGAATTTAGGTGAGCATTTTGTTCCCTGATGGTCTACGTGTTGGCATCTCACCATAGGTCATCACCTAGAGCAAGGTCCCAGTGTGACCAGAGCACGTGAAGAGCAGTCTCAGACAGAACTGAAGAGGCAAAGTCTGCCCTGGGAGAGATCAAGCCCCAGCACCGCGGTACTCGGTCTCAGGGCAAAGAAAACACACCAGCAGCTGATGTGCCCAAAAGAAACTCATACTCCTCTCTTGGAAGAATTATTGCTACAAACCAATGAGTTATAAAAACTTAAACTGAAACAATCTCTTCATCAATTTCGGTATTTATAGATCAAAAGCACAGCAGTGCGGGGAGATTGTTGTAGTGATGCAGTTATTAGTTTCAGTCAGTTACATCTGAAGATGCTGAGTAAAAAACATAAGTCTTTTGCAGGGCAGAGATTTATGCCACTTTTTCAATACCAAATAAGCTCATTAATTCCTAAATTAATGATGATCACATATGTAGTAGCGTTATTTTTATGGAAGAAGCGACACATTCAAGCACAATATTATTTTTGTACACGCAAAACTCCTGCAGTTTAAAGCCACATTCACTTCCAACTATTTAATGGTCATGATATCAAAATAGTGCTTATTCTGAAACTACTTCTTAATCTAGCTTTTAGGAACTTATACAAATGATTAAGATATTAACATTGCCTTACAGAGGTGACAAAAGCAATCATGCAGTGCATAAAAGTAACATCCTAATGACATTTTCCCAAATTTATATTTAACTAGAATTGATTGTTAAAACTAGATTAATTTGTTTCAACAGTATGGAAGATTATAACATGATCAATCAGATTATGAACTGGATATAATTAATCACATTCATTAACACATTATTATGCAGTAGGGAATAAGTCTACTTACACTCCCTATTGATTATATTGTTTTAAATTTTTCAATTAATACTAATTTTGTCTGCATGGCCTCCAAAGAGTTGGCAAGCAAAAAATGCAGATACATGATAAAAAGCTTCGTAACAGAGACAAAGAAAGCACATTTAGAGTGAAACATTCTAAAAATTCCAAGTATGTAATTAAATACTCACTTTGGAAATACTGTCCATGTCTCCTGAGCCTTAAAATTAAAATAGAGAATTATTCTGTTAGTTTTGAGCTGAAGTTAATCTAAGGATTTTTTTTCATAGTAAATATAAAGTGTAACAGCAATATTTTAAAACATAACCGACCACGTGTCATCTCACTTCCCTCCCGATGTCTGAGTAAGAGTTTACAGTCATTGTTCAATGATGTCAGACGTTGGACTGTATACACACCCAGTGCAAGAAGCCAGAAAAGACTGAAGGACACACTTTAATAATCAGTATCAGTTATTTGGACGGCATCCTTTTGGGACGAGACAGCCCAGCACAACTCAAGAAACCCTGTGTCCAACCCCCTGTCCCATTAGCAATGGTAAGGTACAGGTAAGGCAATTAATTCAGTGTGTATCCACCTATGGGAAATGTTGCTTCAACTTGAGAAAAAAAAAAAGCAAAATCATGGCTAACTAGTAAATGTTGATATTTGTCGGGGGAAAAAAGACCAGTGTTATCACTAAGGTCAGCTGGAAGGGTTTAATTTTCATTTCTAGGTCTTCGCTCCCACAAGCAGAAGCCTACTACTGAAATTGGATGAAATGACATCAACATTTGGTGCATATATATAATACTGATGATGACAGTATCTTTCAGAAGAAAGCGGATGATCCTGAGTACCAGAGCAACAGAAACCAAATAAAATTAAATATAATGATTGAATAATAAATACTGAAAAGATTTTTTTCCCACTCTCACTCAGGTAAAAACAAGAATAAAGGAAATATAACTTTAGGATGGATGTATCAAGTAAAGCATTTTTAGCAGCAAGAGACAGTAAGCAATTCTGGTCACCTACTTTCAGGAAAGACAAATTCCAGAAGAGTACTGAATACAAAACTAGAAGAGTATCAGAGAAAAACAATCAAGAAAATGGAGTTGTGGGAGGAGACTGAAATAGCTCACTATACTTAGCCAGGCAAATTAAGGCTGAGAAGAAATATGAATTCTCTCCCTATAAATACATCACATGCATAAATGTTATGAAGAGTCATTTTGTCATGGCCCAAAGGATAAATTTTGGTGGAAATCAGAGCTATGAACAGATACGCCATAGAAGCGTTGTGGTCAAAGAAGATGGAGAATTTCAAGATGGACTTTGACCAGTTTATCCATCTGATTATGAGACCCAGCTGCCTGCTGCAGTGTGGAAATGAATGCAGCGATTGCTTCCAGCCCTCCTCTCCCAAAAGAACTCAGCTTCCAGTTTAGATATGAGGTCACCCCTAGAAAGCACTCATCATTAATTTGACTAAGCACATCATCATTTTCGCTACAGAAAATAACTAACCAAATGCTAGGTACACATAAAATCCTTCCATAACTGTTTCAATTTATTTTTTTCTTTCAGCTAAGAAATAATTCTCAGGCTATAGAAAGCGACAGAAGAAGATGTGATTACCTTTTACACAGTTTTTCATTTATTTGAATGCGATGTGCATCATTATTAATTAAAGTAACAATCCATTTTAGGATTGTAATATGTAAAGAAAGGCTGTAAAATCACAGGGTGTCCTTATGCAAAGTAATCTAGGAATCAGAAATGCTTTCCTAGAAAAAAAGACAACTCTATTAGGAGATAGATGCCTACTGCTGAATTTTAATCGCTGGGAACATGTTTGCTAAATGAAGTTTCATGGCTTTTTTTTCTTTTTTCTCATGTTGTCACAGCTTCTTCGAATTTCTCCCTTCTTCTTTATAAACAAGATATATATACTTCCTGTGTCACAACCTCCAACTTTTGGGCTACGAGTGATAGATCTCCACCCACCATGGCAGTATGGACTTCAATGGTGTGGAGTTTAGGTTGGTCTGTGCCTGTGCTGGGAAGGTGATAGAGGTTCTCCTTGGGGACAGCAGCAAGGGGAACACCACAGCTTGGCTTCTGTCTGCATGATCTCCATCCAGCTCACTTGGGTTTCTCCCCAGGAAGGAAAATGGTGGTCACTGCTGGCTGTTGCTGGTGCCCCTTGTGGGAACTGGGCCAGCTCCCAGATATAAAAAAGAACCTTGCTGGTGGACAGGGTAGGTGGAAGAAGAAAGAGATCTGAAGCCTTTGCAGCCCCAGGTTCCCCCATGTTGTTGCCTGAATGACCAACACCCCTTGGTGCAGGCAGAAGTGAAGAGTACACCACAAGACCCTTATTTGGAGCTATTGGCTTGGTGTTAGGGTATCGGCAGAAATAAAGCCAAGGCATTTATTTACCTTGTGGTTATGGAAGAGGAAGGCATAAATGCAACTTATTTAGCTGAGGCTTGTTTCTTAAATCCCTTCCAAGTGTCTATCATGCTTCCAGCAAAGAGTGAGAGCACAGAGTTTGCGAGGACAGTCAGGAGAAAAAGCAGTGTGTGTTTTGCAGAGTTGTGCAAGGCTTCTCCCCTGGACACGTGTCCTTCAAAAATCATAGTGTTAAAGCCAAGCAGTTCACTCTTCCTCCTGCCTCTGCACGCCCTGACAAGAGTTCACGTTCTGTTGGGTGCATTAAAATTGGCACCTGTCTGAAGCTGCTAATGGAGATGGAGTAATAACACTCACACTTAACAGACGTATAGCTTAGTATAGAATTATAAAATTAGACTATCAAAATGTTGGGATAAAACCAGCCTAAAATATCCATCAAAACATGTAATAACTTACTTCCAGGTCATTGATAAGAACGTGCACCAGCATGTCACAGTGACAACTTCCCAAGATTTTCAAAAAAGGAAGAGAGGTAAATAAAAATGGCTCTTAAGCCTTCACCTCTACATTACTGCTATGCTATGCTTTTAGACTGGTTTTCATCAACTGAGTTAAAACTAAACTCTCTTATATAAATAAAATAGCAGTATTTTTTTCAGAGAAAGAAAGTATCTTAATACTTCTTATTGATATATATATACAGCTTTTTCAGTTTTTAAACGATTTTTACATACAGTCTTTGGTATAACTCCGAGAACTAGTCACAGAAAATGGCACTAGTCATTGAAAATTGACAGTGTTCATAATATTTACTATCATTACCTAATGATCCATTCATATGATGCGAATCCATTCCACCCAGTCCACTCATAGGTCCATCTGACCCTGGCCCCATTGGAAACTACAAAAGGATCAGACATTAAAAACCAGTATTACTGTAAAATTTTTTGTAGATAATCTAATAAAAATAAAATATTCCTCAGGAAAAAAAAATAAAGGAAAAATGCACAGTCTCAGCTCTGAATGCGCATATCAAGTGAAAGTCTTTCATGTCAAGACTGCAAAAACATCATTGCTTTTATTCACTTTTTCCAATGCTACCTTCATGATTTTTGGAAACTCTCACCCCTGTAGCCTGGAATATAATTCAGGAGTAATTTATTATTTACTTCAACACTTTTATGTATGACTTTCAAACCTGTGCTGACCTAGCTCTACTCCCATTGAAGTTACAGGGAATTTTATGGTTCTCTTTAACAAGTAAGTGATCAATCAACAGTTTTCAAACCCCACCCCATCCATACTGACAGTTGGACTACATCACGTTACCTTTGCAGCATGAGCAGTTTCTGTCTAATTTCAGATATTAACCTTAAATTCTTCAAAAACTTAAAGACATTAACATCATAGAAGAATTTCTAAAATTCACTGTGTAACAATTTAACAGTATCTAAATATCTACATTTTTCAGTTTTACTAGCCTTTTTTTCAAAAAGACCGTAATATGGATTATGATTAAATGAGATATGGTTGTAATCGGAGAAATACAATAAAATTGAAGGCATAGAGAAAGACCAGAGAAGAAACAAGTTCTCCCCAAGAATCTATCAGCTCTAGAACTGCTGAAATTTAGGCTAAAGTATTCACCAGTTAACTATTTCATTAGGCAAATGCTTAAATGTTATCCATAGGTTTCATTCTTAATATCCCATTTAGATGAACAGGAAAGTTTGTTGCTTAATGTTATCCTTTTTTACAGAATGGAAGGGCAAAACAATACTGGGTCACTTTAAACAATTTTTCTCCTCCCTTTTTAAGGGCAGACACTTTTTTTATAATAGAAGTTTGAATCCTGCAGAAACTAATGCTTAGTGGCAGCTCCTGGGATGACGACCCATCACACAGAAGTCTACTGCAGTGTGACAAACTGAGTCGTCCCCAGGATCCACAAGCAGAAGCTTCTAAGGTCTTTTCCATTTAGAATCATATGTCCCAATCATTATTTTGCATATATCAGCTTGATTCATTTGAGAAACATTAAAAAGTGCATGGGAAGGAGGAGGGGGGGAACCAACTGAAGCTTCACCAGAAAGAATGGAAAACTTAGTATTAATGATATGTGATGGAAATGTAGTGTTTGGATAGAAAAAAGCTGAATAATTCAAACACGTATATAACTAGATTCATATTTACATTGGGTCTGTTGGGTCCAGGTGGTACTGCATTCATTAAAGTGTACATGTTGTCTCCAGAGTTGGTTGAATCTGTAATAAGAGATTATTTTAAGTACTAATATATAACTTTCAATAAAACTACTCACCTAATACATTGTCTGTCATTTTGTTCATATTATTTCTGTGCCTGAATCACTGATACACAGCGGCAATATAATGGAAGATTTCATTCCCTTTCTATCTATTGCTACCACACAACAGAGCTACGAAAAGAAATAATTGCAATGGTCCCTAAGTGACTACTTCTAGACTCTAGTTTTATGCATGACTGTTAAAAGGTTTATAAATCACCAAGTATCTGTAACTATTTAATTCCAGAAACCCTTTTTCCTGGAGTTCCAAATTACTTCACTCATCTTCAATACTGTCTTCTATAAAACAGGAGTTTCTTTCTTATCAATACTTCCTGTAATTTGTTTTCCATCTGTAATAAATGATAAATAGCTTCTCATTATAGAGACTGAAATTTAGAATAGTGAATGGAAATTTTTTATTCTCATTCATGTCAGTCTCTGATTTTGGATATATCTTAACTATTCAGTGTAACATTGTGCAAAGATCCTTGCTCTAAGGACAGCTTTAACGGATGTATCTTCACGGTGCAGTGTGGTGCAATGCTTCAAAAAAACCCTGAGTTCAAAACCTACAAAGCCATCCCGGCACAGCGTGGCCCTTAAGCTAATATGTTCTGCCAAGACTTTCACTTGGCCATGCCAGATGTTGACACAGTTATATTGCATCTCAGTCCTTTTCCTCCAATCAGTGCTCGTGCACTTTCAGAGGGAGTACCTTCAAAGCTGAAATGCAAGATTTAATTAACAAGACACACAGAAGACAACCCACACATCTCTTCTGGCTGAACTTAAGAAACCAATACCTAAAAACCATTAGTAGATACAAATTATTAATTCTGATATCCAATTTATTCCTACTGCTAATATATGCAAAGTCTTAACACCCTTACATTTGAAGAAAAAGAAGGCAAAAACTAGCAGACAGTAGACAAATTAGGCAAAAACCTTTCCAAAGGGAACTGGACAAGACATAGGCTGTGTAATGTAAAAGTTTCCTGAGGAATGGCCTAAGGAAAGTCTAAATACATCCCTAAAGGGAGAGCACAGATCAAAAAAAAATTATTGTCAACTCTGGAAAATCAGTACCTCTATAGTATCTACAAAAAGAACAAAGAATAGCTTAGTTATCTGTATCTATCTCCTCCTCCAAAAGACCATTCCACCTTTTAAAATGAGAGCTTTGAGATTAACAACACGCACAAAAACCACTGCTGAGCTGTAATTGCTCTTCCAAAACAAGGTGATGGGGGACTTTTGAGTCAAAAGTAGTGAAAACAAGAAATCTGAGACCAGACTGAAATGTGTCGGAACTGGGAATGCGGCCTGACCTCCCGGAAGAATGTATTTGTACATACACCGGGCAGCTAAAACCAAAGTCTTTGTTTATTCCTTAATCTTTGAGACAGTTCTCTAAGCATTAATTAACCTTGGTGAGTGAATAATTCCATTATATGCAGAGCACTAAGTATCACTACAACATTCAAATACACTGCTTGAAGGGGCGAGGGGGGGAGGAAGCTTTCAGCCTAAAGTTATGAAAGTAAAATTAGCACATAAACAGTTATTTTTAACATTAGATGAGGTAGGCAACAAGTTCTTTAACCACTAGATCCTGTTGCTACACATCTCTCTGGCTCTCCCCGTGTTCTGCTGGCTCACAGGAAAATACACATGGCCTAGTGGGGCCGTGGGAGCTCTCAGAGCTCTGGTTTGTCCCACAGGCAAGTAAATACCTTTTAAAAACTTTCAGATGGCCAATTTTCTAAGTGTTTTCATGCTCTGGGAAAGAGAGTCGTAAAACATCTTTTGAGTCTCTACCTGAAAATGGGGACAAGAGTCAGCAGAAGCTTAATTTGAGCTGCACACAGACAGCATATCGTGTGCCATAACTGCAGTGCTGGCTGTTTTCAAACGTGCAGGCTGTCCAGAAGTTTATGTGAAAAGAGACTCTTAATTTTCAACTGCCAGTGTGTGCTAATTATCTTTTTCACTAAGGATATGAACAAGGAAGCCTTACTCTTTATCTCAGGCTGCATTTTTTAAAGCCCTGGGATTGTATATAATGGAGATATTATATTGGTGCAAGAAGTTCTCATGGACAGTGAGGAAACCTCCCTAACCTCTCGTGCTGCAGAGGACAGCAAGAACATGTAGGACATAAAGAGTGAGGATGCTGTAGCATCGCTGAGGTGAACACGTCCCTCTGCTGGTGAGAGTGAGTTACAAAGGCAGATTTTGGCCAAATAATGTTGTAATACTGGATTAATTTCATTTTAGTAGATTTCTGAGGATGTCCATGGGGGAGGACAGTACCCTCCACATCTCGCAGTTCCACTTTCATATCAGAATCTTTGCAGAACATCAATGGAGGGAAATAGTTCCATCTAGTTCACCGTCTTTGAGGTTCATCATCCTTGAGGATCTCACTAGCCATCCTGAATCCTCCCATTCTCCTCCTTGGTTCCTCAAACCTCAGTAGTAGTGTGGCCAGTCTTTTGTATGGCCAAAATCTCCATGTGGTCACAGTTACAAGATACAAATCATGTTACCTGGGGAAGCAAAGGGGCAATGTGAAGTTCTGGGAACAGAGCACTGGTAGGACGTGACAATGGCTCCTCTGAGGCCTTACTCCTCCATTTTAAGACAAAGGAGAGCAACCTGTCTAGCATGACCCTGCCCTCAGTCAGCTGACATGGCTGTGCATCACATCTACTGATGCTGATGCAGAACATCACTAAAGAGCCACATGTTGGTCAGGTCTATCCCATAGGACACTACAGGAAATCTCCCGATTTCCACACTGGTGGAATGGTCCCAAAGAGCATCAGCAAAAGCAAATAAAGACAGTGACTTCTTTTTTTTTCATCTTGCAGGAATTGTGCAAGAAAAGATCGTCACAAAAGCCAGAGAAATTAATTGCTCTGAACTGCAGAGATAACAACTCTTTGTATCTCTGCAACACAGCAGGGAGAGAAAGAAAGTGAAAGTGCAGGAAAACAACCTGAAACATAAAATAAAAAACTAATAATTTCTCATCAGTGGATTCTTCAGGAAAACCAAAGTGTGAAAAATTATTTTTGTACTTCTTAAAATGCCTTAGAATTATCTTTAATTATTTCTGAGTATGTTTCAATACCTGCAGGACTAGGCATGATAGGTGTTCCTGGTGGCCCTCCACCTCCTGGAGGACCCTAGAGGGGGTAGAAAAGGTCAGTTAGCATGGAAGGAAAAAAATACTGCAGTAAAAAAAATGAGCACACAATTTAAAAAACCACAAAGTATTGTGAATGTCATGAGTTACTCCGGTAAAAACACGCACATTTTCTGACAAGCTAAAGCAACACCTCATCACAGATTAAGACAAGGTAATTGGTCAGCAAGCTCTGGCACAGGCATCTGAGGTACGTAGGTATACAGACCCAAGAATATCCATTAGTCAATAACTCTGTGTCATGCTGTGAGTCAGAGAAGAGAAAAACTTGGAGCAGGGCCTAAGACAATTATATTTAATTCCCTCAACCTACTTTTATTACCGCTGGTTTTCCAGCTGGCATTTCTGTTTTGTTGTACTCTGTACACAGTCAATGGCAGAGTAACCAAGGTTTGCCAAGCACAAAACAAGGGGGTGTCCCGCGGAGACACAAGAGCCTAATCACCTTAAGAAAGCTTTCTTTTTTAGGCAAACTTAGTATCTTGATGCCGCAGGCTTCTTAATTCTATCTGTATAATATCCTACAATTTTTTAAAACAACATCCTCATATAATTTCTTCTGAAATTAATGACAAATGGATTTTAAAAGTCAGCATAATTCCCAGTACAGTCATGTCGCTTGCTTAGGCTGCTAAATCAGATTAAAAAATTTAAAAAAAAACCCCTCATCAAGGAACATCCATTTACTTAGGGTTTTTTTCTGCATTACAAATGTGTTTAGGACTAAGTTGTACACAAACTGCTCTGGTTGTTAAACAAGCTTTTTAAGGTTCTTTAGGAATTTCTTTAAGAATTTTATTTATTCCAAACATCCTAGTCATTTTGTAAGAATACAATCATAACTTCTTGTTTCCTGTGTTCGCAGATCCACTAATATTTTTAAGTAACATGAAAAATTACCAACTTCCAGTTTGACAAAAATGTGTGTCAATAAAAGTCAATAAATACTGACTTTCCATAATTAAAAATACACAGATTGCTGGCAACATATGATTATTTTCATTGCCATATAACTAATTATATTTTTATCTCTTTTGTTATATTTTAAAACAGCTGATACACTGTGCCAGATGGGAACATTGTTTCAGTAGCCCTGAATTATAAAGGTTTGGTTGTTCCTGTCTGCTTACAAGGACATTGCTGAGATTTGCTGCGATTCACTGAGATGTTTCGGAAGAAGGCAGAGAGAAGTCTTAGATTTAAAGCAATAGAGTTCCTTTCTGAATGGCCTATTTAAAGCAACATTTCTTACAAAGCATTTAACAGTAATATACTTGTAAACATTATTTTCAGATAATCAAACTCAGTAACATATCAGCTTTCTGTCTGATACTCCTCCCCAGGTTCATGCCAGTAAAATACTTGCAGGGGGAAGCATCTCTATCTACCAGCCAGTGATCAACTCGCAGTTAATTGTAGATGAAATACATCTTTTATGCAGACGCAGCAGCACACCCCTGCAGTCAGTCAACATATATATACCTCTGTGCCCTCATACATGACCCCCCTACCAGTTCTTTATCTTCTCCTTCCCCTTGCTCGTGAACTCATCAAGGTCACCCAGAATCTTTTATAAAGCGTGGAAGAACAAAGGCTTGCTCCACGATGAAACCCACAGATCAGCTTACAAAAAATCAAGGCATAATCACAACTTCATTTCGTACTGCCAGCAGCCACAAAGGTTTTTTTTTCCCCTCCCAAATTACAGGGGAATTGGTAATGAGCATGTTAGGATCGGGCTTGCCAAAACTGCCTGGAAGGCCCATTCAGCTGTCATGGTTTAGGCCCAATGTCCTCAAAAAAGGACACCGGATGTCAGCAATGAGAAATGCCCCCAATGTAGTCGCAGAGGTACAGACTCTAAACTCAAAGCGACCTTTGGACAATATATATATGACCCTCTAGGCATCACAGGCTATGACTTTTTATCCATCCACTTGTGCACTAAGCTTGTTAACTTTGTATTTTTAGTTTTATATATATTTTTGGCATCACATAAAGAGCTGCAGAAACCACTACCTGGTCATTTATTAGAGAAGTTACTTATCTTCAATGCTAACTTTTGCATCTAATTTTAAATTTGCATTTACTTTCATTGTGTGTTTATTTTCTTCTCTTAAAAAGCCTCTCGGTATCAGGTATTTTCACTCTGAGAATGTATTAATATCTAATGGAATTATTTATCAAAAACTGCCCGATAAGCTAACCAGGTGAAGCTCTCAAAGGGTGTAGTTCCATATCACAAATCCTTTGACCAAAAAGCTGCTTTAAGAGCTCTCCAGCCCACACCTTGTCCCCAAGCTCTTGCTCTCTTGGAAGCTACTGACCCTCAGTTTTGCTGTTTGTATGGCTGGAATCCATGCACTCCTTTTCCAAAATGTGGTGAGCCTTTCTGAAGCAAGACTGCTCTCTCAGCATCAGACAAGACACGCATCATGCCTTTAGGCTGGCAAAAAAAGATTTCAACCCCTGGCCCACCTCAGTGGCTCCACCACTACCCTCTCCTGGCAGCAGCCTTAGCTCTGCTTGGAGCTCCCTCTGTGAATGTCCCTCCACCTATTTGGGGTCAACTGGAGTTCTTTAAATTCTTCAACCAGCTTCAGGTGTTTCTGATCCAAGGAACTCCAGTGACAGGCCTGAAGGAGTGGTAACCTTCAGCAAAGGAGTGGGGACCAGGAACCAGGTGATAACCTTTCCCACTGGCACAGCTGGAGTTCACAGAGCACACCTGACCAGAGGCTCAGGCATTTTATCCATCACTTGTATCTTTTGTGTGTTCATTCTTGCATTTTTGTGTATCTTCTGATTTCCCTTCAGTGCTGCCAATTAGATGCAAAATTCCAGCATCAGTCTTATAATTGTCACTGAAAGAGGTAAAACCACCTCTTCACTCTCACTCCACCTCTATCTGTACACCGAAATATGGTGATGCCCTCTTTTGTCCAAGTCATTTATCCCGGGTGACTTTTAGCTGGGTGTGAATACACCAACAGAATCCTCTACTGTAACTTACATTTCACTTAGGTTTGCTTCATTCAAATAATTTTCTGTACTATCTCCTTTTCTATTTTCTCAGGACTTCATAGTTTTAAAAAATGAGAATATGAAGTAAAATACTAGAAAAAAAAATCTTCAAAATCTGCAACAATAACTGATCAATACTGTCTAAAGCCAGCCCAGCAAAATCTCTTCCCAATAGAGAGAACTTTTTAAAGTTCTTCCTGAAAAGAAATGGTTTGGATATCAGCAGATTTAGACTGTTTCCACCAAACATTTGGAAAATGAGTACTACAGTTATGGACACTTATGAGAACCATGATGTTTTTCACAACTAATTGTCTAAATAAAGGACAAAAGAATTTGCTTTTATCTAAACAAAACAAGCTCATCATTGAACTCATCCTTCAGCTTTAGCACTGCAGAATTGTCTCTCTTACGAAGACTGAAAGTAAGAGGAACCCATAAGCAGCACAAACAGATGAAAAAACAATGGTATATCGTCCTCATGGTGAAGGATCTGCTATTTCCACATTCTGAAATAGTTTCAGGTTTTATGTTGGTTTAAGCCAATGCCCTGCAGTTGTATAATCTTCGGGAGATAAAACATGAAAGATCAAAAGAAAGTCTACCGAAACCTGAACAACCAACAGAAATTTGGAATCCAACCTATGTATATACATAAAATTCCCCCTCATTACCCTGTGACAACCAGTAGCAAGCACATGATAAACACAGGGGAAACGATACGCCTTACAAGAGTACATCAGAAGTACAAATAATCCAAGTACAACAATAGCAACAACAATAGAAAGCCTAAAAAGATACACAATGTTAATCTCTCGAGATAGAGACCAAAACCCAGCAGTATACTCTCCAACAAAAAACATTTTGTTGATAGGTAAAGTGTACTTGTTAAATTCCAGAGAGAGGGTTAGCATTTCATGTTCTTTTGAATGACAGCTCAGTGCTGGGCATATTAGAAAGCTGGAATTATTTTAAAGTACAGACTAGGAAAAAACAATGATACCAACTAATTCACAAAAAATTAAGACAATGTCTGTGAAATGAAGACTTAACGAACTATGGAGAAAAAAGTTTTCAAGTCTCCAGAAGGTAATTACAAGAATAGAATTTTCCCTTAAAAATTTAGCTTTAAGGACCCATTTATAGATCTTTGAGGAGACGAAAGCTTGTTCTAATTCTTCAAATACTTGTTTTTATGAAGAAGTTCAGAAATTCATACACAAAATTGTATTACCGAGAAAGCTGTGGATTTTTATTCTTTATTATTGAAGACAATATATTGTATTGGTTGTATAAATGTTTGCTGAAATAAAACAGCACTCAGGGCAATTTTGACCAGACTGATAATGATTCTAGTAATGAACATCAACATATGCACCACAAACGGCAGAAAAACCCCTAAGTGCAGATCAGATGTTCAGTTCTCAACCAATACACAAGGGTTCTTAACATCTGGACAGCTATTTCTTTGCCTGAACAAAATGTAGCATCTATTTAATAAGCAAACACACACAAGTGTACTTACTACATAGTTCCCAGGAGATGCTGAAGAATAAGGTATCTGTAATATCAACAGAAACAAAACAGTAATTTCTTCGGCAGTGAAACGGAGTCTATATCTACATTTATGTACAGTTGCAGGTTAACAGCTTTGTTTAATTTATTTGAAAGACACAGTTAAGGACTATGGGGAAATGTTCTTTGTCAAACATGAACACCCCTTCTCTTCAACAACTTCTTGTTGGAAGTATATTCAAGTCCAAAACTGGCAATATAGGCACAAACCAAATTTAATACCTAATATTTCAAATAAAAATATTTCCTTTTAAGATTACTGTGCCCTGATAATAGACACTGTGATGAAATCAGTATGAATAACATAATTCACATATTTAAGTGTCTGTAGGCTGAGGCCTAATATCTGCTGTCTATTTTTTCATAATAATTGAGGCATGCATTGTTAACAGCCAGCCCCCACTTTTTTATGGTACCAAATCCAAGCCCTACTACGAATTCAGTTCTTGCATCTACTCCTATAGTCTTTTTATTCTTATTGTAGGAGGCACAATAAGCTCTGTAAAGATCTGCAGTCTACAGTAAAAGGTTAAGCTATAAGATTATTAAGGTAATATGCTTTATAAGGTTTATAAACTTAAGCAGCACATTCATGCATTTAAGTCAATAAGACTTCAGAGTCACCCCAAGCATGGACTGAATGTGCATGTTCTTACATATACTTAATCTTGATTAAAATCTTGACTATAAAAGGAAAAGCAACTCTCATATCTTTCACCCTCGAAGATACTAATTTTCATTTCTTTGCATTATTCTTTTCTTTTTAGAAAAAGGACAGTGTTCTATTTTCATTTCAAATTCAATTGTGGTACAGAGGGTATGTGAAGAAATCCAGTTGCCCATGAAAAATCCGGTGTTCTTTATGATAGCCTTTGCAATTATTCTCAGGGATCCATGCTATTATACAAAGATGGGGTTAGAAGTAAGTAACAGTATTGACAAAATAAAAATATATTTTTTAGCATAATTATCTTACATGATTGTAGACAACTTGTCAGCCAACCAATTTTTAGAAATACCATCTATTATTGGATTCTCAATTAATTTCATAGAATTAAAATGTTTCAACTATCAGTTGAAAAATATCCTAACAACCATTTTAGTTGAGGACATGCAAAAGAAAACCAAGGCAGAGTTTCAGCTCTTTTCTTCCCCAACTGTCATTTGTAGAATTAAAAAATCAAAATTCAGAACAACAGAAACAAGCAAGCTAGTCTGTTAAACCAGATCCATCTTATTCAACTGCAAGTGATGAAAAGGGACACATTTTTATACTAATGATGTATGACCACTGAATGAAAATGAAAGCTTTATTCCTGTGTTTTCTGAAGAAATACCAGAAATGTTCATCTGGGATGCCTCACTGACCTCCTCTTCCTCCAAGCTGCTATTAGACTACCTCATTTTGTAGTTGTTGCAATGAAATTCAATAGAGTGCACTGCTTTTTTACTAAAAGCATATGAAATGGCTGATGTCTTGCAAGCAATTGCTCTATGATTCTGTATTCCCTGGTTAAGAGCAGCAAATGTGCTTTTGTTATGTATGTATCTTAACAAGCTGTGATTTCTGTAGAGCTTGCTGGCCACAGTGTTAACCTAACTCATGTTACTGGTGTTATAGGAAACTAAAATGTATTTTAAATATATCCCTTTGTTGTAAGGAAGTGCTGTAACTGATGTAAAGATGCAGAACTGTTGTGTGATTGTGAAAAGAGCTGGATATTTCCAGGTCAATGAGTGCTCTGTTCAGATGTGCTCCTCACTGTACCTGCTCTGCATTAGGGTTACGGGGAAAAATACAAAGCATGCAGTATTCTATTTGTTGAATGAAGTAGAATTTTTTTTTTCTGGTGTAGTGATGAGAAATACTTACCTAAATATAAGATTATGTCTAACGTATTTTAAATGTTTACTTACAGAATTGGCATTGGTTGGGTTTGGCCAAGGTCTACCACCCCCAGGACCCCTGTAACAGAAGATGAAAGATGAGACCCAGAACAACCCCCAGCAAATCAAAATAATCTGTTTCCAGAGTAAGGAAGAAGATGTGGGTTTTTTATTTAAATTGAAGTGTGATTATAAACCATAACTACACTAAGTTATAAAGCTATAGCCATATTCTCATCATTGCACTACCATTGTCATTTAATCCGTTTATGAGTTGATTAAAGATTATTTATTTATTATTACAACCCAGCCACTCTGATTTAAGACACATTACCTCCTGACTCATTCTGGTACTTCTGTACTCTTCGGGACAGGACCTGGCAGAATGGCACCATCAGGACCAAACTGCCAGAGGCTACAGCTGAAAGGCACCGTTCTGCCTCGGTCCAAAACACTTGCGAATTTAGGAAGTGCCAGACATTCCCCTTTTATGTTCTCAAGGGAACAATTGCAAATTTGTGTCTCTTGAAGTGCCTTCCTTCTGTTCACGGAGAGTTTAACTCTATACAACATTTCAATGCGGCACAGAAGTTTTGCAAAAAGTGAAAAACAAGTTTCCAAATTCTTTAAGTTGTCATGAGGAGTGTTTTTCCTTGTACCCTATTAACCTTTTTTAAAATATTTGGAGGCAGTAACACACATTCCACGGAAGTCCACTTAAAGTACAGAGAAAGGCAGAAAGGTACAAAAATATGTGTGGTTTTAGTCGTGGAAACAGTAGTCTTGCTTATAATAATAAAGTACCTTCCTGAAATATTGAGGATGCATGCATTAATTGAGTATGGATCTAGGATACTGCAAGAATAGTAAGGTTTTGTTAGTGAAAGTCATGCTTAAAGTAAAATGCTTTGGGAAAACTATTTTTTAAAAGAACAAGCCATAGGAAGTATGTTGCTATGAGCTGTATTTGATAATAATAATAACAGCAACAACAATAATAAACCTCATGTATTAAAAATTGAAAACATGCCTCTTTACACATACAGTTTAAACATATGTTTAGATACTCCTCTAAAAACAGTTTCCTAGTTGGCTAGGGCTACATTATCTCCACAGAAGTCACAGGAACATGCAATTTTTCATACAGCAGGCAAAAATGGAAATTTTAAACTTTTCAGACACTCTGGTTACGCTTGGCCCAAATGGTGTGTGCAGGATTAAGTGGCAGCACCCCAGCGGGAGGGACAGGAGTGTGTCACAGGCAGAAAACCTGCTTGATACAGCCAACTCCAGGAGGTATCAGAGGGGTACTAAAAGCAGAAGGGAATGGGGAAAGGGGAAAAGGAGAAAATGTCCAGATAGAGCACGTTTTTCTCACAACTCTTGCTGTTATTTTAAGTTTCTCACTCCTAGCTGAGCTCAGAAGAGGAGTTTGGTGGTTAAGGCTTCGTCTTTTAACAGTCCTGATGGAACTAAGCCATATGGGAGGTAAAATCTCCATGTTTACAGTCATAACATCTCAATAACCATAATTATTCCTGGGAGCATTAAGAACTCCTAGTTATTTATAAATAAAACAAAATCACTTTTTGAAGGCCCTGACAACTGAGAGGCAGAGCAGATGACAAAATTTTCGCATTTAAAATGGCATTTTGGCCTCATTAGCTTTAGAAAAGCAACATTAGCCACCTCAGCTTACCAGACATGGGAGAGTGATTTAAATATAGAGAAGAAAGCAGGCTTTATTAATGAGTTCATGAAGTTTTCTATCTACTTTCAAGTCTTGCAAAACTAAAAACTATTAAGTACATATGATGCCCGAGGGATTTAATATTGAATCTTTACTTTTTTTATTACATTGTTGATGAAACTATAAAGAAATTGGTTCAAAACAATCAACTGAAATGAATCCAGTGAAAATTGATTTATTTCCACTGACACTATTTTTGGAAGGTTGGAAAACAGGAATGTAGGTGAGACCCTTTTCTGCCTTATTCGTTAGGAGGAGGGGAGGTAAAGCAAGGAAAGAGACTCAAAATACTCATGCTCCTCAGGTCAAATATTCAGCAATTTCTCCTCAGCTAATGATTACAAGGCGAAATATTAGGTGTTCTTTTTTGATGGATTTTTTTTTTTTCTAAAAATGTTGTTCTTTTTTTCAATGTTGGCTTATTGGATCCTTTTTTTCAGAGAAATAAGGAATATTTGTACCAACATTGGAAGTCTGTTTTCACGCCAAAACCCTGCACTTGTGTGACATAAAGTAATACAAATATATCTAGTGAACAGTGCCAAATGGAAAATAGCTGTGACGACACTGCAGATTACTCTGACCTACAGAGGCATTAAAAAGCCAACTCAGATACACGATTGGGTTAAGCCCCAGCAACATGGAAATTTAGACAGGCCTTAGGAGCAGACTGGGAAACTCACCTTTCATCTTAAAAGCCACTGGAATCTGCAAATCTACTGGGAGCTATGGACAGCTCTAAGTATAGACTTAGAAAACACCGTAGCAGATTCTGCTGGAAAGCCAGATGGTTTTTTTGGAGCCAAATGTTGTTAGCTTATAAAACACACATAAAAAAAAAAACCTACCTGCAATTTTTTTTCAATGCAATGCAAGCAGGTTTTTTGGCCTTTATTATATGTTTTATTTTGGAAGCATCAACAGAATCATAAAACATTATTATGAATGTACCAATTCGAAAATAAAGTAATTTATGAGGTATCTATTGCTATGAATAATTACAGCCACGCTTTATCCTTAAAGTTAGTCCTATAGCTTCGATCCTAGTACTTGAAAAAATAAAGTCTAAAATTTCAGTTTCCCAAAGGGCAAATATATTCAATCAGGAAATTAAACATCTAGACACACACTTGCGAATTGAAGTTAAAAAACAAACTCTTTTTTTTTTTTCCTTTTCAGGCATGACTGAGATATTCTTAGCGCTTGAAACAGCACTGCAGGTCACACAGGCCATTAAAAAGTGCCAGTGAAACGTAACACTGCTCCCTGAAATTTGCCATTTTGTCCCAAAGAGGGTATTTTTCCATAAAGAAATGAAATCTTACTAAAAATGGCTACAGCAAGTTTCAACTTAAAACCTTATAGCTAAAATAAAGTTATTTTGTAGAAGAACATAGGATATGTATCAGCTGTTTTAAACAGTAATCTGATAGGCATTAGTTATGATGGAGTAAGCAATTATTTAGCAGCATTACATTTGTGGAGTATATGCTCCTGGACTGAAATACTGCCTATGAGTTCTCAGCTGGTTGTTGCCATTTTTGACAATAAAGAACACATTTTCATCCAGAAAAACGTAAAATTATATTTGGCTGATATTCTGCTCTTAATCAAAACAGCTTCCTTTCGCGCTTTCCAAGGAGAAAAAGCTGGATTTAAAATGACAACTGTTTTTGTAGAGTACACACTTTGATATTTTAGCATTGCCAAAATTCAAAAGACATTGAATAGAACGCTGAAAAATTTTCATGTAGAAAAAAGATACGGCTATGTAAAGACAAATGTACGTTACTATAAGGCAATAGCCTTATGTATAGTTACCGGGTTTCCTAGAAATTTAAACAGACTAATTGATTCACACTGTGCATTGGGTCAGTTGTAAAGGATAACAAAAGGAAGGCATTTAATACAGCTGGGTCTGTCGATTGCCATTGCCCACAAGGACCCTGACTGATCCTGAAGGCTGGGACTGACCAGACAATGAGTCTTCACTAAGGTTTCAGTTTAAGGACAACTCTGACAGCAGTAACTTTACTGTAAGAAAAAAATCTGATGTCCTGGAAATACAATTAGAGGAAGCCCAGATCATAGTTAACTCATTTGTTCTCCTTTTGATCAGTATATATCATTTCATTTGACAGAGGCAAAAAATCACTCAGTTTGATGGTAGAAAAATTATTTGTGATGTAAGGCATGCAAAAAAGTCACTCAGTTTGATGGTAGAAAAATTATTTGTGATGTAAGGCATGCAAAAAAGTCACTCAGTTTGATGGTAGAAAAATTATTTGTGATGTAAGGCATGCAATAATGGATCTCCTTCAACAGTCTGTGATGTAGCATGGAACACAGGTCAGGATATCCTATAGCATGAGCATTCCAGTACCAGCATTTTGAACTCTCTTATGCCTTTAGAGTGAATTATAATAGGCAAAGGGACAGTATGGAGTAGTAAAGGAGTGCAGTATATGCCTGGTAAGACATGGAGACAGCTATGGTTACCTGATTCATAATTACTGCTTTACAGCTTGTTCTTCCCAGCAGATCACACACTGTCTCAAAGTCCATGAATATTCCAAGTAAAGGACTCGGATTCATGCAGGACAGGTTCTCAAGGGGACATATAAATCTAAAAAAACTGTACTTCCCACATCACTGAATTAAGAAAACGTCATCTATGTATGTCTACTGGCTCAACCCAAGACAAAATATGCTTATTAAATGATGCAATATGGAAACATTAGTATTTTAACCCATAAGCACCTTCTCTCTCTTTCTGGCAGACCAGGAATTCTTTTTGTCATCCAGGAATGTGTATTCTTATTTTCCCTTTACAAACTCTCGTTTATGTGGGTAAGTAGTCTAAAAATATCTTACGTATCCTGAATTTTAATTCTACAACATTTTATTTTAGAAAGGTAATTTTCTTTTCTTATAATTAAATCTCCTCATGAGGACAATTTCTGCAGTGCTTATACTATACTCACACTGAATTTCAAATATCTAAATATTTTTTCTACATCAATTTTATCAAAAAAAAAGAAATGCTTCCCCTTGGGAAGGTTCCTAGAATTTTCTTGAGTCCAATATATAATGTCTATGACAGAGTAACATCCAACTTCAGATTTTATTTGCTTCAAGAATTCAAGCTATGTCAAGAAATTAGAAGAAATTAAGGATATGGAGCATTAGATTTTTTTTAAGGGTATTGTCTATCTCAATACCTCTTTTACTTTTTCAGGTTGGTAACTCTTTACTTGAAATTAAAATTATCATCTGGTTTATGTTTCCTATAAAAAAAAGAGTTAAAATGGGTATCTACTACGTAATGATAACAAGCGTATACAAGTCTTGTCTGTGTCTTCTGTGTTGATTTGCTGAGAACACCTTCGAAAGGCAAAGGCTTTACACCTTCGAGTAAGAAAAGGTGTTTCCTCTGCTTTTGGTTGTAAAATCATCTGGTGTCTTGATAGCCAGAGCACCATGACACCTTCTGTGAGCACTCAGGGACTGCAAAATGCTGGTTATGAAAACATGTACAAACTTCAGCAGAGGCAGGGCCAAGAGACAAGAATAACTTGATAATCTCTGGTCTGTGATACACTAGAGATAAGAGGCAGCCCCTTAAAATCTGTGAATCTCTTAAGAGATAAATCTATATAATACAAGGAGCACCTTACTTTCTTCCAGGCTTGCTAATCATATATGCAACTCCAAGCAAGCAAAAGATTTTTCTAAAGTGCAGAGGATTCTTTATGTTGGGCCACTTCCTATGCTAAAACCCTAAGCTTAAATCTCATCTACTCTAGATACAGTAATTTTACATCTGAATTTTCTCTACAGCCTTAGAAGAGGGGGTTGTCTACAGGTATAGAAGGCATAATACACTTCCATGACTAAACCCATGCCTGGAATAAATCAGCAGAGCTTAACTGACAGTTACTGACAGTCTACACAACTTTTTACTAAGTGACAATCCAGTCCCAGAAAACCTTACACTCATATCTGTAATACTCTTCTATCTGTTCAGAGTGGGAATATATAGAATTACAGAAATAAAAACAGCAACAGAGAATCATCCACGCTTATTCTTTCAGATATATCTTTTTTCAGAAATAGTTCTAGATGATGGTTTAATTTTGCTAAAATTAAGTACTTATTTATGTTGCAGAAAAGAACCATACTTGCACCATTCTTTACAAAATATTTAACCAGTGGCATAAAAACATAAATGTACTTAATGTAATTTTTTAAAAAAAATGCATACAAGGATATACAGGTGACTATACTGACAAATTATTCCCAATATTTGAACTTTGACCTGTGAAAGAAACTGAGTATTTGTACAGCCTTGTAGGGACAGTAAAGGTGCCTGTAAGAGATGCATGCAGAAGGAGGAAACTGCTGTGGGTTCACCTTTATAAATTGCAGTTATAAGTCATCAAAACATGTTACTTATCAAAGCATGTTCTCCCTTGTCTTAGTTATCCCAAATATAACTTCTACAATGAAATAATGATTTTTCTAAATATTATAAGATTTTATTATTGTGCTTACATGTTCATTCCAGGCATCCCCGGGCCACCTAAAGCATTCAGTGGGGGTCTCATTGCACCTCCATAGTTCTGCAATGATAACCAAGGGTCAGACTACCACAAAACAAAAAAACAAAACCAAAGAGGAGGGGGAAAGAAAGGACAGCAGGTTAATTATATCCCTACATAACTGCTGACTGGATAGGCCAATGTAATTCATTCTTTCAGGAGTTTCCATTGTTGACTTAAAAAAATAATATTGTTAACCCCAAGGAGAAAAAACTACAAACCATAGAAATTGACTAAAAATACTTAAAATGTCAATTGTTTCAGAATTATTTATACATACAGAAACCAAGTCAACTGCCAGCAAGGGGCAGGTTTTATAATGTATGCAACATTTATATCAAGGGAGCTCATTCAAAATTAGAAACCTGGATTTAGATTCTAAGATTTCTACATCATGGTATTTAAATAAAATTATTTTAAATTAGATTTTATTAGGATATTAATAAATGTTTGTATAAAATTACACCAAATGATATCACTTTTATAACATACAGCATAATCATTACATTTCTAATCAGTCAATTCTAATAAGTCTATGGTAAGTAATACAAAAATTATTTAATAAAATAATAAATGTCATAGCGATGCCAACAAATGAACTGCCCAATGCCTATAAAATCTGAGTTTGTGCTGTGATACTATGACAAAAGTAACTGTACCATTTCCATGGAAAACTAAATTATATTTATTTTTATTCAGAGGAATACAAGCAGAACAGCCTATCTCACCTAATGGACTCCCTAATCTGTGTTAATCCTGCTACATTTTTCTCATATTTCAAAAGAATGGATAATATTAAATTCTCCAAAATGAACAGCTGTGCATTTTGCAAGGAGGGGAGAACAAAGAAGCAAATTACTTTAAAGAAGTATAGGTCACTGTTGTGGTCTGTTTTCCAATAAAAAAACCTAATGCACTCTGTTTCATATATATAGTGTACTACAACCTACATATACTATATGATTCAAGACTTACTGGTATTCTCTATATTGGTCTGATTCACAAAACCATGTAAACGTGAAGCCACGAATACATGGAATAAATCTAACAGTGACGTTGAACACGTGGATCTGATGCTCTTTCAACCCTGAGTGGGACAACACACCAGTTATCTGGAACTGATCTAGAACTGATCTAGAACTGAGAGAGGAGGTTGTGTAACTGCTAACAAAAACCCCAAACTTAGAGCTTTCTTCACTGTTAACACTCCTGAAAGTGTCCCAAGGATAGCTAGTTTGCAAGAACATATCCAGAGGATGTAAACAGATGTCCTCTTCCAGACCCCCAAGTCCCATCTGAAGACAGTATTGTCCACAGCTGCTGGTCATCGATCTCCACTCATTCCTGCCTTTTTGTGCGCAGCCAGCAGAGTGATTGGGGTCCATGCTCAGGCAGAAGTCAGCCAGATTAACTCAATCCTCCTCTTTGACCTAAGTTATCCTAGACGATTTTGGCTGAGCAACTCCTCTGTCAGAATTGTAGGGCACTAACCAGCAGGTAGTGAAAGGAGCTGGGCACAGTAACATCTCAGGTGGCACCACTGGGTCTGGCAGAGAACACTGACTGTAACAAAACAGAAGTTCTGTATCTGTTTTATTTCATTTTTCCATCTTGATGTGGAGGGCTGAGCCATTCTCCCTATTTTGTCTGTCTGGTATCTCCCCTTTTTGTTTTAATTCAGGAATCATCTATGTGGACCAGGGTTAAACATCTCTATGGAATCCTGCAGGACTGGAATAATCCTAATCAAATGTACTTCTAACTCTAATTACTGCTAATTCTAATCAAATGTACTTCTTCATCCTAAAATAAGAGTGCTTTCATTAAGGCTACCGATATACATGTTCCTTCAGCTGGAGCTACGCCGTGCAGAAGTCAGTGCCCCAATTTGTTCCTTGCAGATTTTTACTCAAAGTTACCACCACCACTGTTTATCTGGTAGTTGAGCTGTTCATAAAAGTGCTCCCTACCATCAGGTGGCCAAAATGAGCCAGATTAACCAAGACTTATTTCTTGCTTGAATAAAGCCTGAACCTTGTTCTTTAGAGCTTCTCATAGATTCAGGCATTTATAACCATACTTTTTGCTTCATGCTACTTAAGTCTGAAACAGTCCAGAACCATAAAATACAAAACTGAGGTGCATTTTCTGCAGGTTTTCAAGCACGTGCATGCCATAGTGGACACAAGCATTTCTTTATCAGCACATTAAGTGTTTTCCAAATTGACTGAACGTGCAGCACCAAGGTAGTAGGGCCACCCGTAATGGTGGCTAAGTCAACTTTACAGCACTGTAGCAAGAGGACCTTAAAAGTAGGTGTGACTTGTCAAATTTGGCTATAGAACTGCATTCTGAGAAGATTCTAAACGCCAGATACAAAGACAGATGATGATCCATTTGTAGAAAAGATTGATTTATGAACTTAAATTTTGTGTAGACTAGCCACATTGTTCCCCATTTTAAGAGGATGTTCAGCACAAGAAAGAACCACCTTACAAAAACACTGGATTTTAAGAGACAACAGAAAAGGAAAAAATATGCTTATAAAAACTGGCATGAGATTTGCCTGCTGTGTGACTAATGGTGCTGCATAAAGTATCAGCTCAATCTCACATGGCAGCATCAAAAAGCTTCTCTTTCCACCTCCAAAAGGCAAGTGGTAAATATACTTCAGTGCTACAAAAAAAATAACCAACGTGTTTCATAATGCTTTGTTGGTCACACAGCAGATGTGGTGTACAACTGCACAACTGGTTTCTACCAAGAAGACCCAAAATTGTAAGGACAGATTTGAACAGATTCGAAAGGCAAAGCTATTTAATCATTTCAAATTCAGTTGCTATTCCAAGGAACAAAGAAATCACTAGAGAGACTATCTGAAATGGGGAAGTAAAAATGCAAAGTGTGGGCACAACAAGCACACTGTGAAACAAAATACTGGCAACACTAGTGCGAAACACCACCCCCAAATTTTCTCTCACAGAGAGCACTGACAAAATATAGAATAATCTTTTGGATTCGTATTTCAGGTATGCATCAGAATTAATTTCTTTTCTATCTCAGTTTACTGTTGAAATTAATTCTGACAAATACCACTCCTATTTTCACACTTTTGAGGAAAGAGCCTATGGACACTTGTGGCCAGGTGAGCACCATGGAGAAGGCTGATTCTTGCAACCCAAGGTTGCTCTGCTCCTCCAAAAGAGAGCTAGAGAGACGTTTACGATTGACAAGGGGGAGAAACGGCAGCATGAACTTCTCATTTTACATGACAATCTCTCTAGTGCTCACCAAAAATCTAGATCAATAGTGCATGAAGGAAAAAAATTTACAGAATTGGGGGGTAGTTCTGGTATAAAGAGTTTGCCTAAATTAGAAGTATTAATCCTTTCCTCCCAAACAGCACAATCAATTAGGCTGGGAGGATGAGGAGACACCTATTTGATCTTTGGTTTCCAAAAGGATCTCCTTTAGAGATCCCTGGATCTCCTAAAGGCTCCCAAATGTCAGCCTCTGATTACAACATGCACTGGCTGTAGGACAAACATAACTTTTCTGAAATAAGCAAGTTAAGGGATCCCTCTTTTACTTTCAAGTCTTAATTAAAATGACTGATGTTTTCATTTTAGACTCTGAACAGCTGCAACTCAGAATTAATTTTTGTAAAACATAAATTCCATTTTAAAATGGGATTAGAAGAAAAAGTCCTGGCCATCTTCAAGCTATGGAAAGATGGAGTAACACAGTGTGCATATAGGCCTATCAATAAAAATGGTATCTATCTATGGAAGGTACCTGTGGTCCTAACGGAACCATTCCTCTTGGAGGGGTCATTCTCTGCATTGGCCCACCCATGTTTGGATGCCCTGCAAATAAAATGAAGTAGCTTAAAAAACCTATGCAATACACAAGCACCTTCTACAACAAGTTTAACAAATCATTCCTTCTAAATTAACAGAAAATCTAAAAAAACTGGAGTAGGCTTTAAAACACAGAAGAAAGACACAATTTTGAGAAGACAGTACATTTGAATGGTCCAAATAATTGTCTCATTCACCTTGCTGCCGTGTTGGGTCCATCCCGCTAGGCAACAATGGCTGACTTCCTGGGACACCTCCGAGTGCCTGCAGGCATAGAAAACATATGTTAAAAGCATATAAAGCTTTGAAATTTATGTTAAAGACATAATGCAGATACTTTGATTTTAATTCCTGGGTGTTTCTTCTGAGTCAAGAGTAACGTGGAAGAGTTAACCTTCCTCAATGCCCTAACTAAATGTCCTGAATGCCTAACTAAACTGAAAGTACCAAGTGTGCTATGGCCTTGACTATGGACTTGCACAGACAAACTTGGACTTCCGTGGAACTACGTATAAATAATCTCCAAAATGTAATTGCTTTTTCCATCCCAATGCTTCCTATACTTTAGCTTACCTGTTTAACCTCGAAACATTGCCTTTTTCTTGGGTACGTGGCAATTTATCCAAAGTTTATATTACTATAGTTTTCCCTTTCAACCATTATTCTAACATTTCCTTTCAGAGGTCAGGAAGCAGACACTGATATTCTCTGAGATTGAGCCATAACTGAGCCAACCACACAGCATTCACAGGGTGCTGTTAATTAGGGCTGTGATGTGGGGGACATTTTATCTTCCGCTCTGCTTTGCTCTTGAGGGGCATCAATGTCAAGATAAGCTTATTATTCATCTATGGGAGATAACAACAGTCACAAAACTTCCTCCTAAGCCTTACCGTCTAGCATGGAGGTAGATTGTATTGTTACTTCACCTCTGGTTCAACTCCAATGCGTTCCTCCTATGTCCCCACATTTTGATCTGTCCTTTGGGTTTATACTAACTGAATTAGGTGTAAGGCTAATTTCTGCAGTCTCTCAACTACAGTTTAGCCAACTAGAAAGTTTTTACGAATGGATCTTCGTAGCAGATCCACTAGATGCTATTCAGCATTTCAAAACATCACTTTTTCAGTTAAAAATATATCCAGAATGGGTAAATCTGTTGATATGAAAGTAATCTACTCAGGCAATACAGGTATTGCTTACTGAGGAAACGGTAAGTTACTCTTGACTTGGAAATACTGTAGTGGTCTTGGACTCATACAAAGGGGAACCTACGTGCAAATACTACTGAGTTTGTTTCCACAATAGGTAGAAAATTCAAAATTTCAAAATTAAGATGACTATTATTAACTCAAAGGTAATACAGTCAAAAGGAACTGCACTAAAGGTTAATGGCATAAACAAATAATCCGAGACAACATCATTTAAATCAGAGCTTCACATGTACTTCAGTGGATGACACTTAAGAACAAGGCATGAAGTGCATGGAGCAAGGTCAATGACCAGCAAGGCAGGAACTGGTCACTTCTGCCAGAGATGCAGATGATGCAAGGAGACGGAGGCATTTGCTGCTGTGAGCACGTGGGACCAAAGACTCTACTACAGTTACACATCATACCACTTCTCACAAAAAATGAGTGTTCCTGCACAGCGTGATGCAGACACCCTTCTGGGGCTGGATCTTGTGGGATGCCATCGAGTCCTGGAGGGGACTTGGGGACACTCCTGCAGCACTCGGTCAGTACTAACTTTCCTTGCTACAAAGCCTAGATCTGGCTCAGATAACTACGATAACCCCTCAGATAAGCACATGCCCTGTGTTACCCGTCCTTGCCTAAGCAGCACAATCCCTACTGCAAGGCATTAAGGGACAGAGTTATAGTGACAGTGGGAATTTTAACTCTGATTTTTACTGGCTTCCGTCTCATCCAAATTTCAGCCTCAAAGCTGCACTACAATAGTTTATTACTTCCACGCGCTGCCCATCTATACTGTAACTTAAATAATGGCAGCGTTGTTAAAAGCAGTAATTCATGATTGCAGCATAACGTAAATAAATTGCAAAAGCTGTAATTCACTAAGATTATGTGATTATGCTACAGTTCTGAGCTGAAAATATCACAATGTGGAGACAAAAACGCTTCCCAGACTAAAACTGCAGGTTGGCAGCGCTTTCACAGCATCCACCACATCCAGCTTCTACCTGCCAGTATTTACTGTGTTCAGAAACACAGAAAGAAAAACAAAGGAATATGTGAAACCCAAACACTGGTGTATCTTTGGCTACAATGGAACTGAAAGGTGCAAAAACCGCAAAGATATTTTGCACTGAATTACAGCACGTCTGTAGCAAAGAGTTAACTGAAGTGCTAATGATGTTGCTGTCCCTTGATGATCACTTCAACGTGGTTAATTACATTTCCCTTGTAAGAAAGTAGGTATGGTACAGGTAACTTCACCTGTTCCCAAACACCACCGTGTTTGATTTGGAGGAACATTTGAAGAAGTCTTGTGACCTGATATATCCAGCTCACTGTATTTTAAATTTCATCTTTCTGGAAATACTGTGCCAGCGCTGAAGACAAGTTTGTTGATACTGTGTTATACACATATAAAAAATAGCCAGAACTGAGGCTGGAGCAGAAAAGCCTCCTCATCAAGCCGTGACAAGAAAGACAGTCCGGAAGTTTTAAGTTGCACCAAAAAACCCCACTCCATCTGTCCTATCAACCTTTCCCAACACTGTAAATGACCCAGTTTTTCTTTCAGAGCTCCACTGATATTTTTCTTTCTGCTTATCTCTAACTTTTCATCTGTTGACAACCGCTTTCTCCTCCTCTATCTGCACTACAGAGAGCTTAAAAATACAAATGCTATCTGCTTCCAGAACCATCTTTTCACAGATGGGCCAATAAAGGTCTCTGCTGACGAACAGCAGCTCATTACTCATTCTTGTTACACTGGCATGCATATCCTTTGATGGAGCTGAGAGAAAATTGGGAATTTGATGCATTTATAGAGTCCTCGGAGTGTCTGTAAGAGTCATAGAGCACTTTATGATACCCGTTTCTCACCAATACTCTCCATATTTACTGTGAAATAAATGTACTTCATATATCTAACAAAGAATAGAAGGGAGTGAGGCATTTTATGCAGAATTAGGTTAAAAAAAATGGCAGAGCTAACTGCTTGACGTGGTTTGGAGAGTTTAGAGAGTGTTAACAGCTATGGGGATGTTCTGCCCTCACCTCAGAGCAGGCACCCCTGGCACTGCACCATCACCCCAGACCACAACACTGCATCCCTGAGGAATCCTTACCTGATTGGGTATTCTTAACGGTGGCCGCGGACCTCCCGGGTACCGAGGGGACATGAAAGGCTATGGAAAAAAAGAAAAAAAAGAAATACCGCTAAATAACTCAGCTCACAAATACCACATTGAGTCACTTGTGTATGGCTTGTGCCACGCTCACACCTCAGGCATCCAGCTTAAATATTTCCACAGAGCATTCAGCATATTATTACGCAATGTTTAGCAGAACTGAATAAATTTAGAGATTCTTAGTGAATGCATCTACCAAGATACACTATGTACAACTTTTTTACAGTTATTGTGAATGCAGGATATAAACACCTTAATGCATTAACTGTGAAGAATATAAACCATTTAGATCATATATTCACACGTCTGTACTTTCCACTGGAGAAGGAAAAGACAGAAACCCTGGAATATAAAATAAAAATGTTTTTGGGAGAGTAAAGATGTAAGTAACAGCATAATCAATTTGCAAATACTTTCCATTCGCTTTTTTGGTAATAATACAATAAAAAGCAAGGCAAGCTTTAACCTGTGAGGGCACAGATTTCAAGATCATGCCATAAATATTAGAACTTTGTTTTTTAAATGAACCATGTTAATTCAATGCTACTCCTCCCATCCCTGCATACATAACTGCATGTTCCCTCAACACATCTCCTCTCTCAAAACCAAATATACACCCAAATCTGTCATTCTTCCTGCACCCTGTGCGATTCTAGTGACTCTTGGCTACTACTATACTGCTTTGTAGCCCCACAAACAAGGTCAGTCCCTTATGAGAAACAAATGGTAGCACCAGCAAATAAATACATTTAGTATCTCTACTTATTCCATCCCAAAGTAATCTAGAAATCTAAAAATCTGGGAGGTTTGTGGCAAGTGTGAAATCTACAGGAAAAAGGCACAAACATCTGACTAAACAGATGATGAAGAGGATCATTTTGGCAAGCGAATGCACCTATAACTCCAAAAGAAAATGAAGAGCTGAAAGTATGCTTTGACTTTGTATCACGAAAAAGGAGCTCACTTCTGTTTGTGACACTGTCACTGGAGACACGGGAGGGATAAAGGAAAAGAGTCTGCTGGGACTTCCCAGGGGCAATCTCTGATGACATGTTTATGCCCTTCTTTGGGGTCTCGTCAAAAAGGAACAACTACTCCTACACACAGGCAGCATCTAGTCAGCTGTAGCTGAGGACCACTGGCAGGTCACTAAAAGCCTGTGATCACATCCCTGTATTACAAATGAACGGCCACATTTCAGCTCCATCAGCAGCGCTGCGTGACAAACTGAAATGCCAGGGACCGTCAACGTTGGTAATGGATGTATTACTAGTAGCAGTCGCTAGCAAAAGAATTATGTTTCCAATAATTACTAATGGAATTTTTCCTATGATCTTGCATAAAAAAAAAATAATGGAACCTTTCATATCTCAGAATCAGGTGAAAGCTGAATTAATGTAACCTACATAAACATGTGTTTAAAATAGGTACTGGAAAGCAATTTAAAATACAGAGGGTTTACAAACTGGGCAAGAAAATTCAATGACAATTGTGAAAAGATTACTTTAATAAAAAAGGCATTTGAAATAATATGCTATACAAGAGGGAGGCTTCTTCATGCCCTCTCTCTGATAAGAAAGGAAGCAAAAAGGGTTGTGCATGTGGTGAAGGCTGTAAACATGCAGGCCCTTGTAAAGTAGTAAAAGTGCAAGGAAATTAGAATTTCAACAATTTCCATAGAGGTCAACCCAGTGCATTATATGAAACGCACCACAGTCTAGTGAGTATCTTGAATTTGGTTCACCTCATTCGGCAAATAAAACCTTAACTTTATTTATGGTTGTATAGCTCATAAAAAGGAAATCAGCAGTGTTTCCGAAGTTAAACATCTTAATGTAGAATCACACTACTAATATTAATATATGATAGTGTGTTATTGGCAGGACATCTACTCCTTTCAAGCAGAATGGAAACCTGCTTGTCCCTTCTCTTCCCAGTAGGTTCACCTTTCTATGCAGTTTAAAAAAATACCTAAAAACTTAATTGTTTGCATAGAATTGAAATTTCATTTAAAAAACCGAAACAAATACCCCACTGCATTAAGGAGAGAAAGACATTTATTAATGTAAAGTTGCAATTTCACTTTTCAAAATATGACATATTGTTTCTAATGCCCAATGTATTTTTTGTTTTGCTGTTCCCCTGAGGTCAGTAGCTGCTTCAGATTTTTGAGAAGGTCCTGATCTAGATAGGTCTCAGGTCTGCTAAATAGAAGACTCACAGAGTAACCCTAGGATTCTTCTCTGAAATGATACGAATTATGTTTTTTTGAGGCATTGTTTCCTAAGCAGGCATCAAAGCAGACTTTAATGTGATAGCCAAGGCACTTATTCGTAAAGGGCTTGTTAGTTCACGGCATGGAATAACTACAGGAGCCTCTTTGATGCAACCCCATCTTACAAAAACATCTATATACTGCCAATATTCATATAGCTAAGTATTCCCCTTAAACATGTTTGTGGAAGTGTTTCATTCTTTAAGCAACTGGACACAAGTGGAACTGCAACAAAAGACCTCATCTATTAAATGTCAAATAATTCTTATGATTCTTGATAATCCATGGTTATAAACACTGCACAGTTCTATAGGCAGGAAAATATATAAACAACTGGGAAGCACAACTATATGTTTTGATGAATATAAGTATCAAAAAATATCCATATAGCATTGCAGAAAATGTTGAGATAGTGATGTCCCAGGACAATTCTAAAAAATCTACACTGTTTTGGACCAGCATTTAGTACTGAAGTTTACCACAAAAACTTTACCACCAAAAGAAAAACTTAAATACTCTAATTTTTGTGTCAGTTACTAAACGTCTCCCTCTCCATCACCAACGTTGTTTGTCCACAAAAAGTTCTACTGAGGCATATCAAGACACCAAGGAACTTCTGCCAAACATTTTAATGAAAATAAATTAAATATGAACAGCTTCTCACCAAATTAGGAGCAATTTTTTTCAAGTCTGACATACACACACAACATTGTTAAGCACTAGGAATTCTGAAAGACAAGAACTCAACAGCAGGCATTTTTTATCACGTGTGGTTTTTTGCTACATCCTTTGTAATTAAGAAAAACAAGCTGACATGTAGTCTCTGATCTAGTTTTACTTTATTATTAAGAGTTGCTGAAATGACCATGGATTAGGGAGGAACCAACCATGGTCTTACATGTATTATGGGTGGTAACTCACTCTTTCTTTGGCTTTTTGTAAATTTTTTCTTCCCTTTCTCTTAATGATATTGCAGCACCTACATCACAAAAAGTAATGGGTTCAGAATACGGGCACTAAATTAAACCCAGTGATTGCAGATTTTGAACTGGCCAGTGCAGCACGTGTCTTCTGAAGACAAAAATAAATTCTTTGCATGTTTAGGTCTTGGACGTTGCTGCCTGCTACCTCAGCCTTGTCTCAATTCAGAATTCAGCATCTTGATAGCTGAGCACCTTTAATGTACCCCCGCATAAACTCTCAGCGAGACAGACTCCTTATTTGTCTGGAGTTCAGTGTGGAGGGGACTGGATGGGTGCCAGGGCAATGCATCAGATCCTTCCTGGCTTGCCCCAGCCAGCAGGGAGGGAGAGGAATGTCAGCAATGCACAGGGTACAAGAGCACTTCTCCCACCTAAGGACTGTAGACATATGACTCTTCAAAAAATAGGCTGGGTAAAAATAGAAAGAAATAATTAAGCTGGAAAAAACATGCCAAAAGATAGGTAACGTGATCTAATAATGCAGCTGTAACTTTAGCTACCAAGTAGGAAGAAGACAGAGGGGCAAAAGATATCATCTCCTAGAGCCCCCTCTGCGCAAAAGGATGTAGGGTACTCTTCAAATAATAAATCTGGCACTTCAGGGCCAGATCTTGCTTAAGACATTGCAAAGCCTGTCTAAGCAAAACCAATCTCTTGAAGCTGATCTGACTGAGGAAGGTGGGTATTACCAGAGTGGCTCCATCCCACAGTAATTTCCAGGGGCTCTTAAGGCCTTACAGTCCCTCTAAGCCACAACAGGGACATTACATCACGTAGGAGAAGATGTAAACAATGCTATGGCACACTACTCTAGGCTACAATTAACTTCTCAAATGGAGTTTGGGAACTGGCACATATACTAATGTATTAAGAAAAGGAAAAAAAACCCACCAAAAATACCCCACAAACACCTAAACTAAAAATATGAAAATAAAAGAACATGACAAAAATCAAAACAACAAGCAAGAGTGAACTATCGAAGCCACGAATGAGATGGAGATGCCACCAGTGCTTGAAAATGTGTCCAAAAAGAAAGGTTGCAGCAACAGCCAAAGAATCTGGTGTTTCTGAAGAACAGCCAACTAAACACATCTGCACACACCAGCATTACTGCCCTCAGGTACAAAAGTCAGTAATCTGGTATCACAAATAGCTTCTGGAAGGCTCCTGTCATGCAGCTGAGACCAAAGGAATACAGGCAGAAGCTTCTACTAAACTGGGTGAAACAGGAGGCAGATAGAAAAAACCTTTTGTGGTCACTGCAGAATATATTTATTTACAAATTAAAAAAAAAGGAAGAAAAGTACTAAAAAAAGAAAAGAATACTAAAAAATACTAAAAGAAGAGAGACTACATAAAATTTAATCAAGATGTGAAATGTTTAGTAAGCTTCTTGTTCTTACTTAAAGCATCCTACCATGTCAAATTGTTAAAAATGCTTAAAAAGAAGAAAAGTTCAAGAACCTGAATGATGGTAAGAGACGTTCTAGTACTTTTTATTATCCTCCTCCTAAAGAAAAAACCCAGCTGTGTACAGGGAGAGTACAGGGTATCCTCCAAACTGTGTATTTAAATTCAATTTTGTGAGTTGTGTGTGCATGTGCGCATGAACAACATACAAAATCTTGTAAAATACTATTTTTCTTAATCCCTGGGGATACAAGGGGACAAGCAGATCACGGCTTTCTAATAGTGATGTCTTTGAAGAAGCACAGTAGCCTCACTGTCCACATTTTGGT